GGAACAGACGATTCGTTGAATAAGACTGGAGATAACGGGAACGGAGTATGCAGTCGTTCGGAAGTAGCCGAGGAGCGGTCGAGATTGTAAGGTAAAGGAAGGCCGTTGACCGAGACGATGTTACGTAGCTGGAACGAGCAAAAGACGAAGATTAAGAGACCCGGAGGTAAGGTAAGGGGACTTTTATAAGGCGTAAGAAGCACTTTATCGCCTTTCGGCGATCAGGCGTCAGGAACGTTAAAAGGAATTAAAAACATCATGAGAAAAACGGGACTTGGGAAACGTCGCCGGTTTTACAGTTGGTGATAAAATAGATAATATTTTACACAAAAACTACATAAAGTAGCTTTAACATAAAAAACACACACTATCGCTCATACACAAAATATAAAATATATCATATTGACATAAAACATCGCCTTTCGGAGATAGGGGATGTTCACAGTCTACGTAAAACTTAAAGTTCTAAAATACAGCCCCAGTTGTGCGTGGATCTCACGTACGGCCTCGTGAAAGTTTTTGGCTAAATATTGCTGACCCGGAACCAGGAAAGCTGGGACACCAAAATTTTGAGGGGATGCCCCTAGCATATGTATAACTTAAAGATTTTAAATTCAGCTCTATGAAAATTTCTGGTGAAAAACTGCTAACTCGGGAAACGGGAAAGCTGAAATTTTGACGGAATGGATCCTTAATATCCCCTAAGTTTCCAAACGCAACGCAGTTACACAACTGACTTCCTGAAATTCGAGGACCAATATGTCACAAATTCGCTACTGGGATTCCAAGCGATCTTATTATAGGACGTGTCGGGAAGCTGAACCCAATAACTGGAAACCTTTTCGCGGGCTGCCGAGCTCGAATTCTAGATTCGATCAGAAGAATGAGTATTTCGCTACAGTAGTTCCGCGTACAGAGCGCGAGATCAGGTCGAAATTAGTGTCGGGGCTGGTGTTGAAGTGTCGAGGCTGGTGACGACGCTGGTGTCGATGCTGGCGCCTCGACGTTAGTGTGTCGAAGTTGTTGTGTCGAGGCTGCTGTGTCGATGCTGCTGCATCGGAGGTTGCTGTGGCGGAGGCTGTAGTGGCGGAGGCTATTGTGGTGGAGGCTGCGCAGAACCTGCCGCGGGCAACCGACCCGTACGTTCCGAAGGGACTCGAAGTGAATTTGTTGGGGAGAATGAGCAGCGAGATGGAAAACTATTTACCCCACCCTTTAGTAATACATTAGATAATATTTGATAACAGGAAAAACGTTTAAAAAAGTGGTCGGCCGACGGACAAGATTCATCGGCCAAGATAAAATAACTTTACATCGGCAAAGAAAAAACAATCACAAGTATTTTCGAACGTCCCCTAATGGAACGCTGGGAATAATCACCTAATTCCCATTTCTTCTCTTTCGCAATTAGTCGCAACAGCACGAAATACTGCAAAAACGCATGATCGTGCGGGCCCGCCTGGTGCGCCCCACCAATGATTTTTACACGAGAAAACCTATCCATTTTTATTAAATAATAGAAAAAAACGAGACTTACATAAACAATTTTTTAGGCCAAAACCTTATGAGACCAAAAAATGCTAAAAGCAAACCCGTGATAATAAAAACGGATGTGGTGGTCGAAGCAAATTGCTAGCAGGCTTGATAAGCTGCATTAGAGAGCCGTGCTCACTGGCCGAGTGCACCTTCCGATTCATCACACTTTGCCGCGCAGTCTGCAGAATTTCTTGCGACTTTGCATGCGTTGAAAAGCAGCACGATTTGATCGAATTCGTCTCATCGGGTGTGTACGGGCGCGGAGCAATTTGCACTGTTGTGGTATTTATCATTGCCAGACGACTACGCAAGGACATATCACTGCATTGAAGACCTGAAATTCATTCAATCAACAAACACTTATGCTGTAACTTCCTCGTCAAGCTCATTCTCGCTGTTGTAGTTAGCAATTCCATATCTCCCTATTTTGAGCTTATCACGTTTCGGAAACTTCATACAGAAATTCGAATGAATCGATCCGTTTCAAGAATGGCATTTTACTGTGCATTTCACACTGCAGTATAATCCAGATTTCTTAATCGGTCTATATGATCAACCCAGTTTTTTATGCGTTTTGTGCTGCGTAACAGCAGTACAAAACGCATATTGTCACGGGGCTGTCTATGTATGTGTTTGTTTGTGTGTGTGTGCGCGCAGCAACTTGTCCGCAACTTTCAACTCGGGAACTACAAAAGCTAGGAAGCTGAAAATTTAGAGGAACGTTCCTCACCCACGTGTGACCCCGCAAAATTTAAATTCAGCTTCCCCGTACCCGCGAGTAACACGTATGGCCTCGTGAATGTTTCTTACGGGTAAATTAATATCTCGGGAATCGCGGAATCTATAAAGCTGAAATTTTAGCGTAATGACCCTCTGCCCACGCTCAACTTTGCCCATTCAAATTCAGCGTTCCTGCGCTCTCGGGTATCACCTACGGGCTAATGAAAGTTTGTCGGGTAAATTATTATCTCGGGAAACACGGAAAGATATTCACCCCTCAAGGTTTCGAATTCAGCTTTCATGCGCTGGTGCGTGAAATTTTTAACTGTTTTCCAATGTTTGATATTTTGCTATTTAGCTTTCATACGCTGGTGCGTGAAATTTTTAACTGTTTTCCAATGTTTGAACTATTTTTGCATAGACAAGGTACAAGAGTGCGTGAAATTTTTAACTGTTTTCCAATGTTTGAACTATTTTTGCATAGACTAAAGAACAAAGCACTGGTGTGTGAAATTTTTAACTATTTTCCAATGTTTGAACTATTTTTGCATAGACTAAAGTACAAAGCATGAAAATCATTAATAGGCAATCGTTCGATGGGCCGAATTGCACAAAACGCATTATCGCACCGGCTAGTCTGTTGAAATTTTTAACTGTTTTCCAATGTTTGAACTATTTTTGCATAGACTAAAGCACAAAGCAGTGAACTGGTGCATGAAATTTTTAACTATTTTTCAATGTTTGAACTATTTTTGCATAGACTAAAGTACAAAGCAGTGAAAAGTTTTTAACTGTTTTTCAATGTTTGAACTATTTTTGCATAGACTAAAGTACAAGGAAGTGAAATATGCAATCGTTCGATGGGCTGAACTGCACAAAACGCATTATCACACCGGCTAGTCTGGTGCGCGTTGCTATTTATTTGTATTGTATTGCGCTAGTAAATCGAAATACGGCCAGTGTTTGAAAAAGCCCAAACACTAAAATATTGTAATAAAAAGAGGACTCTATATCATTTATGTTTGTAAGCTTTAGAATAAGTGATAAAAACAGTGCTAAATCCCAACAATTTCAACTTTCAGTTTCGACTTTTCAAGAAAGAACGCTAGGTTTACCCCCCAAAAAAAAACAGACTCGGAATACAGAATAGTAGAATGAAAGGACTAGTCTTAAGTGTCATGTGCCCAAGGACATTTTATTATGTGGAATATGGCCTGGAGATCAGCGGAAACAGCTAAATTACTATACACAGAGTATATACATCTTCAGGCCATATTCCACATAGTAAAATGTCCTTCAGCACATTACGCTTAAGACCAATCCTTTCATTTTACTATTACACTTCACGTACGACAGAGTTCATACTGCAAGCAGTCTTGATAAGACAAATGAGATGCTATAGGAGTCTAATGCACGAAAGTAAGGGAGTGGAAAAATAACGTGTCGGAAAAAAAAGGTGAGCAAAATACGCTCTCTTTTTTTCGTCTTTTCTATTCTATGATCAAGTGATGTTCAGTTTGACCTGAAGCTTCAGACGTGGTCGAAGGATTACTGCTTTGTGTTCTTTCAATGAAGACACTTCGAGGCTGTTCCGCAAGACTACCGCTATGCCGTTGTTCAAACGATCCAAGCTTCTTCGTGCTTAAACGCTGTAGCAGCGCGGTGTACTCATTCACAGCATCCCGTAATTCCTTTGCCTTTCGAAATTCTACTGGCCTGTCCATCCAAGAATCCTGCAATACCACTGTTTATTGACTTGATAAGCGCGAAGTTTGGTAGTAGTCTCAGATGGAGGAAACTTCCGAAGAATTTCTTCCACGAAAAACTTGATTCTATAAGCTCAGTTCTTTGGGAGTGATCAACGCAGCCTTCGTTATTCACAGCTTCATCATTGAAAATGGAACTTTTACAGCGATTTCAGCCGAACCTAATGCTCATTTCTAACTGATCACAAATCACCAATCTGCATATAGACCAGTTCAGTTTTCTTAATGACTACCGAAGAAATCTTCATCGCCTTCTGTCTTCCTAGTGATTCTTGGCCTTCGAGTTTAATACAAAATTAGTAATTCCACTATGCAACTTTTCTCTAGTTTTCGACTTTCTCCTTCCTTCCTCCCTCGTCTTTGCCCCTCTCTCTTCAACTATGCTCGTATGTAATCAGCTGAAGAAGTTTTTGAATACGAAATGAAGCCTGGAATTCTGAATATACCGAAACAGATCGGGTCGTCAACTTATAGCTATGCATTCAACAATTTTCATCGAGAAATTCCTCGATTTTGCCGAACTGTCGGGAGTGTTCTCTTCGTCCTTATTCTATTTAAGGTTGAATGAAAATTTTGTTGAAAAATGTAAGAAAGGATGATAGAACAGATAAAAAAAGTAAAAAAGGGAAGATGTAAAAAAGAAATAGTATTAAATTAGGCAAGAAATGTTTCGGTCCATTAAG